TGCAGTGCGTAATGAAGTAATATATATATATATATATATGTATATAGCTTTAAAGGGGACATTCTCATTGAGAATAAAATTAGAAACGGATTGAGGAAAATATACTATCCATATATTTGCGCGATGTAAAGGACAACAACCCCAACGAACGGGGTCAACAGCACGATAATAACCTAAAGCACATTTTACCCCACGCCCGCAAAGGAAAGAAGACAACGATGACCTCGATAATGAAAATTTATTTTGTACTTAATACTATCACGGACGCACGATATTAAATGAAATATTAACTCATACTTCCTTTTATTAACCCCAACAATTTAATCAAAATTAATTTCTATTTACTAATTCAGAAAAGGAAATTAAATTAAAAAATACATTTATTTGCTATATTTCTAGCGAATTCAAAATTCCTGTAACTAAAATGCAAAATAATATTTATGGGTTGATTTTGAAAATGACGATGATGTTCTAAAATTATTTTCAGAAATTTTGTCTGTGTATCAGTTCGTGTATATAGTTGAGACAAATGGACGTATCTTCTTTCTGGTTTCCGCTTAGGACTATAATCATTTTCTGCGTTTTGAACACCTTTTAAGTTAAGTTAGGAAATAATTCATGAATATTACAAACAAAGTGAAAAAAGATAACCGAATAACAGTAAGCTGTACAGCGCTTAGGTACGCAAAAGATCAGGGCCGGCTTCGTAACTGCCTGGTTGAAATTATATCTTAAAACATGCATCTTTGCTATCCTAAATTCCTGACAATGTTGAAGTTTCTTTAAGGTCCGATGCTGGCAACATGCTCAAATTCTGCTTGCCTGCATCTCTTTTTATTACACATCAATTGATGTAATGTTATTCCTTTTTCTTTATTAGTGTCCGCTGCAATTCCTGCCTGACATCTCTTTTTATATTTACGATATTTCCTACAAAAGTAGACGTTCTGTTAGCAACCACTCTAGTCTAGTTAGTAAGTTGAAAGAAGAAGGTAAATGTGACAGTTTTATTGCAGACTATGTCAATTTTGAACGTCCTAGCCATAGCACTTGTACAAATAATAGTCGGAGAGTAAACCACAAAATTTTAACATCATCCGGAATACGGACAAATTTTACGGTAACATGTTCGAATAAAATAGACGGGCTACCTATCTGAACAGATGGACAGCCTACACAAGAAGAAGAGTGAAGCTGTTCCATTTTTTAAATTACGTCATCAAGATAGCTCTTTAAAATTTAGAGAAATGCAGATAACTTTCTAACTTTAAGTCGGAACAAGTGAACCAAATAAAATTATTGCAAAAGAACATGAAATATCCTGATTGATTCTTATTATTTCAGATAAAGTTTCAGGTAAATATTGTATGCATTGAAATGGGAAATCAATTGGCGAATCCAAAAGCAAAGTTTTTAAAAATGCTTAATACATTAGAACAGTGGCAGCTTAAAAGCTGTTTGGTAATTGATTTTTAAAAATAGTCTCTGAAACATGAAGCCAAACATGATGTAGTCAAGAATACATAGTTATTACATCATTAATTTAACTACAAATAATGTTAATAATTAAGACGTGTCCTCAGTTAAATAAAAGAGAAAGAGATTAATTTAAATTGAAGAAAAGCAAAACTGATGTAATACCACTTGAACCCTTAATACTTTTTCTGTTATATAAAGATTATCGTTGCACAATCCTGCAAATATAACATTAAAAGGGCTTTCTATTCGTTCGTTCGTATGTATGAAACCCACCAAACATCAGCATCACCTTTTTTAACAACTGAATCGACCTCAGTATTTCATTTAGTCGTTCAATTACCCCTATATCAGAAAAATTTTAGTGCCTTCCAGTTAAAGTAACTCTTTTATTAATCTAATAGATATGGTCCAGCACCTCCATCATTTTTGTTCAATATGCTTGTCCTAAGCTGAAAGCAAATCTCATTATTTACAAATGAGTAAGGTATGTGGCGGACGTAAATTAAAGAGCAATAGTAAGAATTTTAGTAGCGAATCCAAAAAGGGGAAATGGGGGAAATTTCATGTTCCAACAGGTATTTACTCTAACCCTATGGATTACTTCAGTTGCGTGAGAAAATTCGAAGTACGAGGGTGGATTGATAAGTTTCCGGCCTAACCAAGAGATGACGCCACTAGGCCTACCTTGAGGTGACATTCTATAGTACCATCCTTGGATAGCTTGTAGCTATAGTTTCAGCCCGATCTCCT